AGGAGGTGCTTCCACGTCGGACATCGTTGCAACACATGGGCCAAAAGAACGCTCGAATTACGGAGCCAATTCCGGAAGCTGTTCTCTAGGATGCTTGGAAGGGCCTCCTCTGTGTGAGAAAGTTCTGTTTGCAAGGTTCACATGTTTGCGAGCGTTCCACTTGTTATTTTGAGTTTTGAAGGAACACCGGCAAAATGCAAAACAGAGCTGGCGAGGTTTATATACTGTTGCACGCAACGGCCAGCTGTGCACGCAGATGTGGCATCTGCTCGACGAAAAAACGGCATAACTGGGCCCCAGAAATGGCTCCCACATCTGAGCTCGAATCTGGGGCCTCGAATTGCGTGAGCTTGTATGTCCAACGAAGAAAGCCAAAATCGGGAGCCCCGTTTCGGTGCCCGGACTAGAGCTGCTTTTTGGAACCCGTTTCAGCTGGAAAACTGCACGGAAAAACAAAATTCCTTCCGCATGCTGTTTGGATCAACGTCCAAGAAAGCCAACATGCTGTGAAATGTGAGATACTTTTGGAAAATTTGCCAAACTTGCCATCGGCTGCCGTTTCAAGACAAGTGCTTCTGTTCTTGTTCGTACAAGATCTTTCCCGCACAGGGGAGGCCCTTCGAGGCTTCCTACGATTCTGTAGGAAAAAAGAGCTCCTGCAAGTGGAGCTTCCCAGCGCAAAAACAGCCCACGTACAGCAAGCAATCGAAACAGTTGAAGCTACAAGCTGAGATTAACATCTGCCAGTAGATGCCGCAAAATCCTCGCATCAGCGTGCCAGCATTTAGCCGCAGCAAACTTATCAAGAGCATTACCACAGGAGGGCGGCGAGCCTCATGTGCATCAGAGGTGAGCCTGTTTAACGTCTTTGGTCTCGACCCAAACTGCAGATAGCAGACGTGCTTTTTGCAGCCTTACTTCAAAGCAGCAAATCCAAATGCAGCGCAAGATGTGCGATGGAACTGGGCCACACCTGCAGCCACTGTCCTGAACATCTTCTTCAGTTCCACTCTTCTCTGAAACATAATGCGCGAGCTGGAGAAACCATGGGAACCCACATGTACCCCACAGGGAACCGAGCTGACACACTGCAAGAGCCAAGGGAGCCCGCCCAGACCTTTGCGCAATATATGCTAGGAAAACCATGGGAACCCACTTGCAATGCTGCAAAAAGCAAGGAACCCACAGGGAACCCACCGTCGATGCTGTTAAACCATGGGAACCCATTAAAATGCTGCAAAAAACTAGGAAACCCACAGGGAACCCAGCTGACATGCTGCAAAAGCCAAAAGAGCCTATTGGAAAACCATGGGAACCCACTTCAAATGCTGCAAAAACCCGGGAACCAAACAGAGAACCCACCGTATCGACGGTGAAAAACCATGGGAGCCCACTTAAAAATGCTGCAAAAACTAGGGAACCCACAGGGAACCCACCGTCCATGCTGCAAAAACCATGGGAATCTACAAGACAGCTAAGTGAAGAACATACACAGACCCACCCGAAATGCTGCAAAAAACAAAGGAACCCATATGTTGCCCACCTGAAGTGTTGCAAAAAACAAGGGAACCCACAGAGAATCCACCGTCGATATTGTTAAAAACCATGGGAACCCACTTAAAAATGCTGCAAAAACTAGGGAACCCACAGGGAACCCACCGTCCATGCTGCAAAAACCATGGGAATCTACAAGAAAGCTAAATGAAGAACATACACAGACCCACCCGAAATGCTGCAAAAAACAAGGGAACCCATATGTAGCCCACCTGAAGTGCTGCAAAAAACAAGGGAACCCACGGGGAACCCACCCCATCTGCTGCAAAAACCAAGGGAACCCACTTACACACCCTTTGGGTAGTATAACACTATTAGAACGGTGGAAGGTCCCAGACATGCCGGAGTCAATCAAACTCAGTTGGCAGCTGAATATTATACCACCGGCTTTGTCCTAAGGGTGAAATCATTTGCCCGCCACCTCTGGGCTCGTTCAGGTTCCCTCGTCTGTATCCTCACACCCTGCAGCATACAATCTCGAATCAAACTGCGGCGGATCAGTAGAGTCTGCCTGTCCTAGCTTTCTGCAAGCGGACAATTTCGGATCCAGATTTCCCATGCTGCGCGTTGCTCTACGTAAAAGACTACGGCGCTCAGCTTCGACCTTGCAACAGGCTCAACATTTCAGAAGCGAATGAGCATGATATGACGGGCTCACATTCGTGCATTCGGAAAAACCTGCTAGATGTCAACAAAGAGTTTTGGCTGCCCACATGGACTACAGCAAGGCTCACTTACTCATCCTAAACCCTACACCGCAACGCAACCACGTTTTGTGGCCTTCAGAAAAAGAAGGCTGGGATTACGTCAAAGCAAGGCTTCGTCACTGACTAGCCGGAAAGTTTACCAGCTGCTCAGGCAACAGTTTGGGCAATGCTCATACATTCACTGGCTCAGATGGCAGACCTCATTGCCAGATGGCAAACCCCACTCCGCAGAGTCATCGCTTTTAGTGCCGGGCTCAAAGCCCGTAAAACATTCGTGCCCTGCCTCAGACAAGGCTTGCACACTGCTGAACCGCTCACGCTCAACCGAAGACGAAGAAGTTACTAGCTGCCACGCAACAGTTCGGGTCACAGCCAAGCTCTCTCACCCACTGCTTCGGCAGGGATCGAACCGCTGACCACTCTCAGCGCTCACTGACCGCTGATCACTCTCAGTGCCGGGCTCAATGCGCGTTAAAACATTCGCGCCATCGTGTGAGAAACGACAAGGGTTTAATTACTGCGATTCAGAAAGCTGCCGTGCTACAGTTTTGGCCTGGGCAAGTTCAAACATCTACATTCGACGGGGCAGCAGACAGAACCATGCCTTGCGAAGTCGTTTTTGCTCTGCTTTCAGGATCTTAGCGACTCTGCGCGCTTCTACCTGCTTTGGACGAAAGACAATCAAGACATCTTGTAGACACGCAGACAATACCACACCTTTGCATCCTGACGCTCCTGTCGCAGGCGGGCCAGACGGGCGGACAAAGTCTCCTAGCAACAGGCAGACGAGGAAGGACCATTTATTTACGAAGGACGTTCTACACTCCTGCGGCAACTCCACTCTTTGAGGGGGAGGAACAGGAGGTGCTTCCACGTCGGACATCGTTGCAACACATGGGCCAAAAGAACGCTCGAATTACGGAGCCAATTCCGGAAGCTGTTCTCTAGGATGCTTGGAAGGGCCTCCTCTAGCTCCAACGTGTTTCACCTTCGAGCTTTCTCCAAGCCATGCCACATCAGTACCTGGTCTTACAGTAACTCCGTCTGCACTCGCAAGCCCTCCGTTTTCTCAGTATTGACGGTTCCTGCAAAAGTCTGTCACGGTTTGCGTGAACAGTAGTTTCCGCTCCTACTGCATCACCAACTGCACCCGTATAGTCCGCGGATTCCCGATAACACACCTCCTTCCATGTCGCCCCTCGTCCTCCCGATCTGTTTTTCTTTTGGCTACATGACCATCCATACCAACCCAGGTGTGGTTCCTTCCACCCGCCGCTCGGCCGCGTCGAGCCGGAAACACTTCCCTGAATCCATGGTGAAAAATATTGAAATCGGCAACAAGAGACAGCCTTCGCGTAACCCTTCGGAACAAAACTGGTGGATTCCATGCCTTGCAATCTGACCTTGCTGGCCATTTCTTCATGTACCTTCAGCAGTTTCCTAAATTCTCGTGGACTCCTTTCCTTCCAAAATGCGCCATAGAAATGTCTTGCTATTGATAAGCCTCCTCTAAGTCATAAAAGCGCAACAGGTAAGTGTTTCCATGGGTAGACTAAGCTGCTTCCTCCATCAAGCGTCATGAGACTTGCTGCACATCATCCACACCCGACTCCGCCCGGACCCAAACTGCAGCGAGTTTAGCCACGTGACACCACCATTGGAGTCGCAAACCAGCTTGTACAAGACTTCTGCATCTCACCCCTCCAGCTTCAGATATCAGCCACATGGTCAGTCTTATCTCTCTTGCTTGAAAATGGTCCTTCCACACCTCAACCTCCTGTTGGTTCATCCCCGTGTAAACCTCCATCCGTGCGCTTGTAGTTAATCCCTTGCGTAAGTTCTTTCACCACCTTGAACACATGACGTCCAAGCTCCTGCCTTGCCCGACTTTTAGCTTCATCATCTCCAACCTTCGCACGCACTGTCCTGTGATTTGGCCAGTGAGACCGCTTTGGTCAACCCACTGAATCTCGCTCCTTTGTTCCGCAATCATGGTGCGCCGCAATGCTTTGAAGAATCTCACATACCTCAAGTTTACGGAAGTCTTAGCCATGCGAGAGTTTAGAGAAAGATCAGGCAGGACTTCGGAGAGGATCCATGCCGAGACTTTATGAAGGAGTTATGGTTTTTATCAAGCAACTGAAAAACTGCAAAGAAGCCGGAAGAGGCGAAGCTGTTGCTCAATTCGTGAAACGCCAGTTGTAAAAGACTCATGTTCATCTCTCAAGTTTGGAAAACTGAAGGTGCCAGTCAAACCTTCGCAATGAAACTCCAAGAGTGTGAAAGTTCATGTTTGAGACATGTTACTTTGGTTGTCCTACATGTCTGCTCAGGTGTGAGTCGTTTTAGCTGAAAGTTTTGCCTTGGAGGCTTGACTGACGAGCTTGCTTTCAGTGGAAAGCCTTTTGAAGTGCTTGAGAGTGTAGGGAAGTGTTTTTCCTTGGTGTAACCGTTTGGAGTGACTGTGTAGCTGTAGTTCTGCTTGCGCTAGTTTTGAGTAGGTCCCGAGAACTCCCACTGACGTTTGAGTTTGTTTTGCAGTTGTGGAGAACACGTGGCTGAGCAGTGTTTCACTTGCAGTGCTATGGCACATGGAATATCTGTGGCCAGTTGCACAGACAAAGCCTCCGGCTGCTGACTTTGGCTCAAGCCGTGAGAAAAAGAGGGTTCAGCGCGCTGCTGCTGTGTTTTCACATGGTAGCGGAGCGTGTGTAGCACGCTCGTAGCTGTAGAGAAGCCATGGCTGACCCTGCCCAAAGTGCCGCGACCCCAGTGCCTGAGGAGGACGACTTTGAACTGTTTGGTCCGAGTCCTGGAGAGGCGAGTCAGCCGTCGAACCCAGGACCTCAGCCTGTCCCGACTGTTGGACCGCAGCAGGCACCGCAGCCAGTGCCACAGCAAGCACCGGTTCCACCTGCAGTGACGACGACAGTTGGTTTGGACCCACAGCTGCAGCAGTTGATGCTGAATATGATGCAGATGCAACAGCAGACGCTCCAGGTCATGATGGCTAGGATGGACGCAGATGAGAGAAGAAGGCGAGAAGCTGAGGCTGCCTCTGCAGCTGTAGCTGACCCCTTTGGTTCGACGGCTGCGGCTGGAAGTCCGTCAGCTAAAGCTACTGCTCCTCCACCTCCAGCGCCTGCTGGTCCGTCTGTGCACGTAGGAAGCAACAGAGCTGAGAAGTACCTCCCTGCTTTGCCCACCATCGACGCTCCATCGATGGGAAAAGGGCGTGTGAAAGAGCTGGAAGAGTACCACCGTTGGTGTGAAGTCTTGGCGTCATGGTTGGCGCTCATAGACGACAACTACGTCAACGAGTTGCGCCAAGCAATGGTGCACAACAGGGAGATCAAGCAGTCAGAGATGTCTGCTCCTGTGGCTTCGAGGTCTGCTCGGTTGTTTTACTACCTTCAACAGAGTTTGCAGAAGTTTGAGAGAGGCATGGAGCTTGTGAGAAGCACGTCCATGCGGCAAGCTCAAGCTGCTTGTGGGTACGAAGTCATGCGGCAAATGCATGCGACTTTCAGCATTGTCTCAAGAATGGAGGCAATTGCAGTGAGAGATGAGGCCCTGAAGTTGCCTGCCAGAGCCCGAACCTACAAGAGGCCACTTGATGTGGTCCGGTTCTTGGAGGATGAGCTGGGCAAAGTGGATCAGAAGCTCCATCGTTTTCCGGAGCTGAAGCCCGGCGGCTCGGATCGCCTAACCATTTTGCTTCAATCTGTCAACCCTGAGTGCCGGCATTACGTTGTTTTGCACGGCAAGTCTGGAACTTGGGAAGAGCTTGTGACGAGCATCCGGTTCTTTGAGGAACAGACCAGGCTTTGCGACGCTGGAGCCCTTCACGCTGTTGGTGACAAGGGTTTGTGTTGGAACTGCGGCAAGGCTGGTCACTACAGTTGGCAGTGTCCTGAACCACCGAAGGGTGGCAAAGGAAAAGGCAAAGACAAAGACAAAGGCAAGGGTGGAAAGCCCTCTGGTGGTGGCGGTCGAGGAGGCGAGCCCAAAGGAAAGGGCAAAGGCGACAAGAAGGGCGAGAAGGGCAAGGACAAAGGAAAGTGGGGAAAGCCAAAGGCGAAGCCGAAAGCGAAGTCCAAGGGACGCGCTGTTGAAGACGAGCCGTCGGAGCAAGTGATGGCCTTGAGATTTCATCGTCTCAGGGGCATGCGCCCAGGGAAAGCAGTGAAGAATGAGCCCAATGATGCTGAGCCCCCACGTCTCACCATGACGGATAAGGAAGTAGAGAAGCTGAACCAGTCCTCTTCGAGGAACAGTCACTTTGCGTGGCTTGTTGATAGTGGAGCCACGTGCCACGTGTTGTCTGTTGCTTCTTTGTCGTTTTGCGAAGTCGTGAAGGAGCATTCGGGACCGCTGCCTGTCTTGATGAGTGCTAGCGACACCGAGATGGAATGCCTCGGGTTGGTCGATATCCGTGTGAAGTTTGGGAGGCTAGGGCCTGTAGTGCTTCAGAAGGTCCTGGTTTGTCAGATTGGTTTCAATGTGATCAGTTCTTGGCAGGCGTCGCTTTCGGGTTGGTGTTCTTGGTTCACTGCCACACCCGGAGAGAGTTGCTTGATGAAGCAGAATGGGAAGGGTTCCTGGGTTTGGGTTCCCTTAGAGACGGAAGCCAGGAGCTGGTGGGCAATGGCCCAGGAGATCGGCCCCGCGAGAGCTAAGGCGAAAGCGAAGTCCAAAGCAGGAGTGCCCAAAGGTACCCCACCGAAGTTTGGGAAAGAAGACGACGACACGGGAGATGCAATGGAAGTGGACCGCGCCAAGGAGAAGGCGCATCCGAACAAGCATCCGCAGAGAGCTTTGGAAGTGACTCCTTTCAAGTTCTTGTTGCGAGCCTTTTGCAGTGAGTTTTCGTGCGAGTGTGTTTCTGCAGCAGAAGTAGCAGCTGAGACTGAGGTAGTGCCTGCAGTTTGTTCTGAAGAGCTGTGTGCGGGTTGTGTGGTAGGTTCTGAAGTCTGTGTTTCGTCCGCAGCCGTTTCGCTTAAGCAAGCAAGCACCACACACACCGAAGCATGCCGTAGGAGCGGTAGGAGTGCGAGTGCATGTGTGAGTGTAGAGCCTTTGCCGCCAACGCCTCAGAGTACTGTGAGAGCCTGTGGTTCGGAAGCTGCTTCAGTGGAGGTTTGCGCAGGGTTTTCGGAAACTGCCTGTAGGAGTGAGTGCGCAGGGTTTTCGGAGACTGCCTGTAGGAGTGAGTGTGCAGGGTTTTCGGAAGCTGCCTGTCGTCCGGAGTGTGCAAGTGCAGGTGCATTAGGGACACGTAAAAGCAAGCAGAAACGTATCTCTTCTGCCGCGGTTCTGTCTCGAGCCTTGCGGTGGGTGATTTTTCTCTATGGAGTCATCTCCGTTACGACGGGGACTGTGTGTCAAGAAGAGAACCCTTTTGCTCCAGATGCCGTCGGAAGGGGTCGCTCAGGAGAAGGAGCCGGCCCAGATGATGGTTATGTCCGAGAGATGGCAAGATCTCAGAGCGATGCAGACAGCGGCATCCAGCAGGCGACAGCAGTTGGTGCAGAAGCTGCAGCTGAGTCGCAGCGTGGAGCAGAGGCGAGAGGCCGAAGAACTAGTGGCAATGAACAGATGCGATTCGAAGGAATTGCTCCACCGGGGATTTCACTCCCTAACTTCTCCGGCCTTGCCTTCTGGAGAACCTCCCGCTCCCACTCAGGAGGGCAACGAGGCCGACGATTGGGGAAAATGGAAGGCGGTGCCAGGCCCTCCTGCGAGCCCGCCTCCACCGGGGACGCCTGTGGTGCCGCCTGGACCCCCGGATACGCCGCCCGAGACACCACCGGAGACTCCTCGGGAGAAGAAGAAGAAGGACAAGAAGAAGGAGAAGAAGAAAGGCTCCAAGGAGCGCCGTGCACGAGAAAAGGACCAGGTCGCCGAGGACAAGAAGGACCACAACGAGGGCGAGAGAGACAAGGCCGCCGAAGGAGTGGCTTTGCTGAGGGAGCAAGAGCTCAAGATGGTTGCCGCCAGCAAGAACTTGGCGGAGAAGGAGCGAGCGTCGGCAGCGGCGAAGGCAGCCGCCAATGTGGCTGTCGAGAAGTGGACGCCCCAACAGAGGGCACGCAAGGAGGCAGAGCTCCAAGCAGCCCTGCTTGCTCAGGAGCAAGCCGCTGCTACAGTTCGTTTGCTTACTTTGGAGTTACAACTTGGGGATGCCCTTGGTGCCCCCGAGAGTTCAGCGGCCCCCGAGGGAGCCGTAGAGTCTGGGACTCCTCCGGAGTTACCAGCCAGCAGGCGGATCAGCCTGTCGTCTTCGAGTGTGGAAGCTATCACTCCTCCAGGAACGCCTCCGACAACGCCGGTGTCGCCCGGATCTGCGGTTCCAAAGACACCCCAACGATCACCTTTGGTGAAAGCGATGCCCAAGGTTCCGGAGAGCCCTGCTTCTCAAGCTGCTGTGAGCCTTGTTGCTCCAGCTGCTGCGGGGCCTGTTGCTCAAGCTGCTGCGAGGCCTGCGGTTCGAGTTGCTTTGAGGCCGCCGGTCCGAGCTGTTCAAGTGAAGGCGATGCCCAAGGTGGGGCAGGTGCCGGATGTTGGGCACATGGGACCTCCAGCGCCGCCGATGGTTGGGCCAATGGGCCCTGTACCACAAGCACCGCAGGTTGTTGGGAAGATGCACATGTTCCCGCCGGCGCCGCCCTTCTTGGGGTACATGGGACCAGTGCCTCCAGCACCACCGCCAGGATACCGAGGCATTTTCAATCCGTGGTCCACCGGGCCGTTGCGCCAGGTGTTTGGAGCTGTGGGCCAGCATGTGACGCCCATCACTCCGAGTGTGTCGGTTGTGCCTCAAACTCCACCGCCCCGCCCTACAGTGAGACCTTCAGCCAGGCCGTCAAAAGCACCACGGCCAACAGCAAGGGCAACTCTAGCCCCTACGCCAAAGAAGAGAGATCGATCACCTTCGATCTGAGGCGGTGTGTTTCTTCTGAGGTTTTGGCCTCAACCTTAGGTTCGAGGCCCGTCATCCTCAAAGTGAGCTCTTCGGTGTCTTCCCCGAAAAAGGTGCAAGAGTGCGGTGCCAAAGTGGTAGGCAGTCTAGAGTGCAGTGCCGAAGCTGTAGAACGTCTAGAGTGCAGTGCCGAAGCGGTAGGTTGTCGTGAGTGCAGTGCTTTAGGAGAAGGTAACCTCGAGTGTGGTGCGGTAGGTGCGTGTTGCTTGAGTGTTCCCGAAGCTACGCCCTACCCGAATGGATCCACAAAGTGTCTCGCTCTGCCCAGGTGTTCCTTAGAAAGATCGTGTGCCGCAGCCTTGTTCAGGGTTATTTCAAAGGTTGCGGGGTTTCGCTTTTGCGTGCTGCTGGCAGTCTGTGCTGTAGCTGTGGTAGTGCGTCGAAGCGGGGGTCGTAGGAAGCTGCGGTTCGGAAGCCGTAGGAGACACAAGTGGGTGCGAGTAACTTTGAAAGGTCGGAATCCCCGTCGGTGTTTCCCCTGGAGAGTCCAACGGCCGATGATGAGAAGGTTGTTGTGCTTGGTCCGCAAAGTGCTTAAGAAAGTTGCTGCCTTGCGTGGGCAGCACAATGAAGAAGCACCGCGGATTCCTGAGGCCCCACATGTTGTGCGTGAGCATGTTGTGTCCGAGCGTGTTGTGCATAGGGCGCGTATGCTTGCAGGTTTGCCGGTTGAGATCACTGTTGAGTCTGAAGAAGAGTTGTTGCCAGACCCCGAACCGAAGCCTCAACCTCCCGGCCCTCCTGACCCCGAACCTCGTCCCGAGCCGTCTGGTTCAGGTTTGTCTCCTCCTGAAGACCTTGAGGTTCCAGTATACATTACTTCAGAGCGTTTGCGAGCGCACCGGAACAAAGGGCATCAGCCCTATCTGAGTTTCTGTGATGTGTGCCAGTCGGCACGTGGTCGTGTGCCAGCACGACGCAAGAACATGAAGAGCCACTATGCGCCGGGAGAGCTTCAAGTAGATTTTGGCTTCTTCGGTCGAAATGTTCGGTTTCTGTTGATCGTTCACGTCCTGTCGGGATACTTGAGTACTGTTGTTTTGGGTCCTGAGGACCCGGTGCCTGTACCAGCCGTTTGCAAGGCTCTTTCTGAGATGGGCCTCAACGGGCTGGACATTGTGGTCCACGGTGACCAAGAAAACCTCCTGGAGAGTGTGTTCCGGGATTCTGCGAAGCATAGGACGTTTGTAGGACGGTCCATGCATTGGGTTCCGTTTGCAGTGAACAGGCCCCAGGCAAAAGGCATTGTTGAGCGTAACGTTTGCCTCGTGAAAGAAGCGTTGGTCTGTTTGGCTAGGACTGGAAGAGCGTGTAGGAGGGCAGCTGCCGTTAGGGAGCTACTTGTTTATTGAAGCCATGCGGTATGCTGTTAGGATGCATAACTTGTTTCATGTGTCCAAGGAGCAAAGCACGCCTCTGGAACGCCTCAGGGGCTCTACAGTCCAAGCTGTGAAGAGTTGTGAGTTTGGGGTGGTAGGCTTTGGAAAGCCACAAAAGGACTATCCGGAGCATCGAGGAAAGCGCCTAGTGAGGGCGATTTACGTTGGGCCCCATGGCGCCAACGGCTCTGGGATACGTGTCTTTGTTCCCTTAGGAGATGGGAAGCCGCCTCGTTTGGAGATTTTCAGCTCGTTTCGTGCCCGGGACCCGGTAGAGTTTGACAAAGCAGTGCTAGACCAACTGAAAGGAAACCGGGAGGACCCCGAGCGACCCATCAAGTTTGATGTGCCTCTGGATGCACCTCAGCCTCCTCCTGACCCTCCGGCGTTGCCTGATGGTAGTCTAGAGTTCCCTGTGGGACAAGCAGAAGAGCCTGGAGCTCCTGATGCGATGGAGGATGAGGATCTAGCAGATTATTCCCCCTCTCTTCCTGCTGATGGTGAAGGGATGGATGTCGAACCTCCTCCTGGTGGTGTCCTTGATGAGGATGATGTTGAGATGGGTGATGGTGAAGATAATATCATGGATGATGGCCTGACCTGGCTGTACGAGTATGGTCTTCGCCAGCTCTATGAAGGACCTGACCTTCGTGTGACGCAGAAGCTGAGGAGGGGAGATAATCCCGCTGAGTGGTTCAGTATGAAGTTTGGAGGTAGAAAAATCTGGGTACATGTCCCAGATAACGCGGTTTGTGAGGTTTCAGGGAAGGTTCTCGCGAGGAAACATCTCGAAGAAGGGATGAAGCTTGAGCTGTCGGAGTTAGATGCCTTTGGTGTGGCAACCGTGATTGGAGAAGCTGAGGCCCGGAAGAAGGCCGTGCGAAGAATCCACACCACTCGTTGGGTTCTAACTTCCAAACCCTCTGTGACAAACCCTGACCGTGTGAGAGCGCGTTTGGTTGTGCGTGACTATGCGCTTGGATCCAGCCCCTTGGCTGATGGGATCTATTCCCCTACGACCTCCTTGGAAGCTTTGCGAGGTGTCCTTGCTGTGCATGCGGTTCGTGGAGGAACGCTGTTGTCTGCCGATGTTTCGGTAGCCTTCATGCAGGCGCCTGTCCAAGGTGTTGAGTGCATCCGTTTTCCGAACGGGATGTATGACGATCATGGCAATCCGCTTTTTGCTCAGTTACACAAAGCCATGAATGGCTTGCGGGTTGGGCCGTTGAGTTGGTACTTGGAGTTCACCAACACGTTGCGTGGGCAGTTTGGGTTTGGAGAAACTGCGGACCCTACTGTGCACCACCGTCTCGAGAAGGACGGTTCTCTGACCTTGGTGCTGGTGTATGTTGATGACTTGATCATCTTCTCCCAGAACTCAAAGATTGCAAAGGAGCTGTATGCTCAGTTGGCCAAGATTTACAAAATGAAGCAGACTGGGATCTTGGAGCCTGGAAAGAAAGGGCAACTTGAGTTTCTAGGAAGAATTATCGTCCGTGTGACGGACGCTGGACCTGTGTTGTTCGGCTTGAAACCGGGCTACTTGAAGTCGCTTGGTGAAGAGTTTGGGATCAGCGGAAAAGGTGTGAAGCCTGTTTTGGGAAACCTTGAGAGGGAGTACCGGAAGAAGGAACCTGGAGGTTCAATAAGCACTGAGTCGTACGAAAGGTATCGACGTGTGCTTGGGAAGCTTATGTGGGCCAGTCTCACGCTTCCTCACCTAGCTTATCCTGTTGGGTTTCTAGGTCGTTTTCAGAGTGATCCTGACAGCCAAGCCGAAGCCTGTTTAAGAAGAGTTGTGCGTTGGGTGATGGCGTTGCCTGAGTACCTTCAGCGCTTCTCTGCGTTTGGCTGGGTCGACCAGAGTTTTGAGTCGGAGACCTTGCTTTCGGGGTATGTGGATGCCTCGTGGAACGTGTGTTCAGTGTCTGGTGCCATTGTCCTTTGGCATGGCATGATGATCAAGTGCTTCTCAAGGAAGCAGTCAGTGACTGCCTTAAGCTCAGCTGAAGCAGAGCTGGCCGCGCTTACTGAAGCTGCCAAGGAAGCTGTGTACCTGTCCCTGCTGTTGGAAACGCTCCTTCAAGGCCTGCCTGCCGGTGACACGGGATCGTATCCCATTTACCTGTCGTCTGACAGTGAAGCGGCATTGTCTATTTCGAAGATGAAAGGCCTGCTGCGTCGAGTGCGGCATTTGGAGTTGAGGCATCGGTACTTGCAAGAGCTTGTTCAAAGTGAGAGACTGCGTCTCACATTCATCCAAGGATGCCTGAATCCGAGCGACGGACTCACAAAGAGTCCTGAAGAAGCTATGCTCCAGCATCTGCTGGAGGCTTGTGGACTTGAGCGGATCTGTGAGGAAGACTTGCAGACACTGTGTGTACCTGAACAACTTCGAGAGAGAGTGGAGGAACTTGAGAACCTCCACGAGAAGCTTGAAGAGCTTCCGGAGAACTTACTGAAGTATCGTCCAGTAGCCGTTGATTTGGCTATGGGGGTTGTTCCTTTGCTGGTGGTTGAGCTGTTCTGTGCCCGTGATAGTGCGTTGTGTGCAGCGTGCAAGCGTGAGAGCGTTGCTTACATTGGCATCACTCAGGAAGAAGACTTCTTGAGTAAGAACACACAGTTGTTTTTAGGAGAAGTTCTGCTCTGTCTGTTGAAACGAAATCCGCCCAAGATCTATATCCATGTAGCGTCGCCGTGTACTGCAGGTTGTAGTTTTCGGTTTAAGAACTGGCACAAACCGAAGTTTCGCCATCGCTGGCGTGAGCAGATGAAGAAGCATGTTGCTTCGTGGAAAACGCTAGGAAAGCTGTTGCAGAACCACTGCCAGGACGTCCTGCTGACTCAGGAGTGGCCAAAGACCTGTGGACTTTGGAAGGAAGAAACGTACCAAAGAGTGAAGAAGTCCCTTGGCCTATCCTTTGGACGAGAAGTAGACCGATGTGCTTTTGATTTGGTCTATAAGAGATGGTGGTTTGCCTGCAACTGTTCGGAGTGGTGTGAAATCTTCTCCGGGAAATCTTGTGACAAGAATCATGTGCATGTTGCTCCTGAAAGTCTTGAGGCAACCGGTTACTACCCCACCAAGCTAGGTAGGGCTCTTTTGCGTGCTGCTAAGCGAGTCTTGAAAGTAGCCGTAGGAGGGACTGCCGTGCGGACGTGTGCCGAGGATGACGAACAGAGCACTTAGCCTAAAGAGCTGTGCTTACACTGTTGCGCTGAGGCATTACAGTCCAAGCGGGGGTGTGAAAGTTCATGTTTAAGACATGTTACTTTGGTTGTCCTGCATGCCTGCTCAGGTGTGAGTCGTTTTAGCTGAAAGTTTTGCCTTGGAGGCTTGACTGACGAGCTTGCTTTCAGTGGAAAGCCTTTTGAAGTGCTTGAGAGTGTAGGGAAGTGTTTTTCCTTGGTGTAACTACGTTTGGAGTGACTGTGTAGCTGTAGTTCTGCTTGCGCTAGTTTTGAGTAGGTCCCGAGAACTCCCACTGACGTTTGAGTTTGTTTTGCAGTTGTGGAGAACACGTGGCTGAGCAGTGTTTCACTTGCAGTGCTATGGCACATGGAATATCTGTGGCCAGTTGCACAGACAAAGCCTCCGGCTGCTGACTTTGGCTCAAGCCGTGAGAAAAAGAGGGTTCAGCGCGCTGCTGCTGTGTTTTCACAAAGAGTACCTTCCAAGTCGAACTACTGTGAAGTGGAGCTGATTTTGAAGTTTGTTAGATTTTGGATGTGAAAAAGGAACTTGCTTGGAGTTCGTTTGTGTGTGAAGCAAAAGCAAGTTGGAAGTTGAAAAGCTCAAAAAGTTTTTAGCTTGCGAGGAGGGTCTGGGCCATTGTGTCGGAAAGAAAGAGCTCAGTGAATCAATGGTTTCAAGAAGTACTTGCAAGAAAGATTCTTCTCATGATCATCATTTGAAGATGTCAAAATTCAAGCTTTATCAACTTTATAACAAGTGTTTGATTGTTTTGTAGGATTATTGTCATGACTTCTCTGTTGCCATGATGCCATGATCCATGATTTTTTTCGTTTTTCGACAAATGTTTCCGAGCATATTTGTTGTTTATTACATTGTCAATTATCAATCAGATAGTCAGATCATTAATCAGAGTCTTTAGGCAATCATTTACGAACGACGAAACTGCACGGTGCGCGAGTCATTGCATCCAACTCCCTGTGACTCCCTCCTGGTCCGCCTGGTCCCTCTGCAGTGCACAAATTGTTGACGTCTTCAAAGAGTGCCCGAAGTGCAGAAGTTAGCGATTGGACCTCAACGACGAATGTTGTCGGTCGGCGTGCCATCATATCGAGACCTTCCGTGGGCTAGAAGGAGCCGCCAAGGCCGAATAGTGCCCGAAATAGTGTCCCGAACTAGTGTCCGAATTCACAGTGCCCAAATGATTTTTCGCGAAGAAAAAAGAGATTTTCCTTTCTTTACGAAAGGAAAATGAATTTGGACACTGTGAAAGGTTCATTCAGGCACTATTTCGGGCACTATTTCGGGCACTATTCGGACACTATTCGGGCACTGTGCCAGGTGGAGGCTTGGGCGGCATATCTGGAGGGCTAAGGGTTCGAAGGCCTGTAGGACCACCAAAGCACTGGAAATGCGCACGAAGAATAGAAATTTGTGCTGCAAGAGGCATTGGGAAGTGATCTGCGGGGCAGGGTTTGGAATGCAAAAGGGGGGTTTGGGGAAGGATTTGCAGAGTTTTGGGCAGGATCTGCAAGGCAGGATTTGGGGGAGGGTCCGCAAGCAATCGTTTGGAAGAGCATACACGAAAAACATGAGGGGTAGCATGTGCAAAAAATTGTAGGGTCGTCTATCTACAAGTTTACGGGGGCCTTGGCCATGCGAGGGTTTAGGGAAAGATCAGGCAGGACTTCGGGGAGGATCTATAACGAGACTTTATGAAGGAGTTATGGTTTTTATCGAGTGCAGCAGCAGTCAGTCATTGACAGTCTTCTTGTTTGCATATTCAGAAACCTCCCCCCCGCCCCCTCAATTTCAATGTGTGCCGCAATGTGTGCCGCTATGCTCATTGGGCGCTTCTATGTAAACATTGAATTTGGGGGGAGCGGGGGGTCTGGAAGGTTTCAAGATTTGTGGACAAACAATTCCAAAATTGTACTATCGCGCGAGGCCATTTTCAGTGTTCGAAAAACCACGAAAACTGTAGGACGCATTAAGGTACCCCCATAGTCAGTTGCCGCCTTGCTTGCCATGCTGTGGTATTTATGACAAGTAGTTGTCATGACATCATGGTCAACAGTCTCAAGCTGACCACGCACAGACCCCGCGCATAGCTACAAGGTTGTTTTTCGAGCAAAGTTCCAATCCAATTGGGAGCGTCTTTGTCCAAAGGTTTTCGATCCATTCTAGAGCCCATTTTCGAGCTCCAAAAACGAAGCCCAAAATGGCGTCTCCCCTAATAGTTTCCAATCAGGCGGTCTCAGCTTTGGGAACCAATTTTTGGCCTCAAAATGGGGACCAACCCGAGCTCAAAAACTGCGGAATTCTGCGAGGGAGACGTGTTTGAAGCTTTACCAAAGTTTTGCCCGACATGCGGCGACCAGTGTCGCGAGCGACCGCGTCTGTTGAAATCAATCAAAACGCTCCGTTGCTACCCTGGTGATTGGGCTTGTGCTGCTTAAGCACCGTTGTTTGCCACTGTAACAGTAACACATGAAACACAAATTTTGCTTTGTGGCTTGCCCGAACCTGTTCAGTTTTTCGCCGGCTTTTGGAACCACATTTTGTTGATTGATTTTCGCTTGTGATATACATCGATGACGAAGCATCCACGTGTTGAGTTTGCAGTCAAGAGAAAGACATGTGCCTTTCACAAGGATCACACAACATGATCGAGCCAGATAGATGGAGTTCATTTCCATGACAAGTTTTTTGCGAAGTTTCGACGTGGGCCTGGAGGGCCAGCCATGGGCCAATCAGCAGGGTGTTGCAGCAAAGAAGAGGACTCGGACATGTGGTTCGTGGAACGGTTTCTGAAGCAGTTTAGCAGTAAGCATTCACGACTTGTTGTTGTTCAAAGTTCAGCAAGTGAGGAAGCGAGACCTTGCGGAGGGCACGAAACCATCCAGGCGCAGCCGACGCTTGATGAGGATGTTGAGAAGGTCGATGACCGCAAGGCCGAGGAGTTGTTTCTTGCAGGTCGTGTCAAAAAGCTTTTCCCTCCAACCATCATCGCAACTTTTCCACCGGTTCCAAGTTGGCTGAAGGACTGCTCCGTTTAGATGGGTTCACCAAAATTCACGCGCTTTAATGATTTGGTCTCCCCAACGTCCCTGAGGCATCAATCCGCAGCTCGAAAGAGATCGATCTGACATTTTGTCTGGATGTGAACCCAGACATCATACGCGGGATTTCGTTGCGAAGGTGCTTGCGATACGTGAGACAACTCTGGTGGCAGTCTCCTGTCGATCTTTCGCAAGACAGCCGAGCAGCTCTGTGGACAAGATCAAAGCCTGCGTCTCGCTTCGACATATTTCTATCACACACGTGGCAGACTTCGGGGGTTGCAAAGTGTTTTGCCTTGATGCTGCAATCCACGTGGGCATGGTGTTTGGCGCTATGGTTTTTGACCACGATGGCCTTGGCGGTTCTCTATGTTCACGACCTTCTCTCCAAGCCTGGCCGTTATGATTTGCCCCCGGGCTTCGAAAGGGAGTCGGTTCCGGCAGGCCAGGTCGAGCACACTGCTTTCGTTGTTGGGTCTGCACGGAGATATGTTTACGGGAAGGTTTAGTCATTGGGCATTTAAATCAAGTGGCCGAGCTTGTCCCGAGAGGACCTTGGATGGCTATCTTTTGTTTGCCAGCGTGCCTCCTTGGCGTCGTGCTCGCGGTGTACCTCCCAGAGAGGATCTGGTCGTCGCCAACTTGTTTTCTAGATGCAGTCAGTATCAACCAGAATGACCAGACTCTCATGATGCAAGGGATCTACGGACTCGGTCGGGGTTCCCAAATCAGTGTGGCGTTGGCACCCTGTAATCTTGACAGATCCTTAGTTTGTGGCAGCTTCCGCAGGTGGCTTTCTGAAAGCTTCGGAAGAGCTTCGCATCCTTTGGTCACCGCCCTACTTTTCGAGATTGCGGCTAGGCTGCTTTGGGGACCGCAGTTCGTTCGTTTAGGACCCATTTCAATGCAGTTTCAGTTGTCCGAGTGCCGACATCCCTATCCCAGGGTCCCAGCCCACACCCACATCTACGAGCCCGACCCAGGTGGTGTGTGTTTGAGCTCGCTGCCTACCGCACGGCGAATCCGAATGGCAAAGTCAGTCTATCGCCGGTGTTCATGGAGAGTGCAGTGGCTGCCTATTTCTTTGCTAACTATGTCATAGCTTTGCTCTTCAGCCTTGATCGTGAAGCTTTGTTTGCTGTGACGCTTCTTGGCCAGCTTCTGTCGACATTCGTCCTTTTCCGCTACTTGCGAAGAAGCCTTTCGGAGAAGCGAAAGCTTGTGTCCGATTTGCAGAACTTCGAGTTGGAGAAGGCCCAGTGCCGCCTTGAGTACGACAGGGATTTCGTCTTGAGTGCCATCACCGAATGGTTTGGCAGCAAGGATGCATTCACCGACTACGTGCGGGGTAGCCTGGGCAAGGCAGCCATGTCAGGATATACGGCCATGACGATTCCGCTGCAATATCAGCTGTTAATCGTGTTGCCTGAGGTGAGCTCGAACTTAGACCACTTCATGGCGCTCTGGACCGGCAACGTGCCTTCTGAGGTGATCGTCTCTCAGTTTCTGGCCATGGTCCTCGGCTATTCCTTATGCTGGCGCATGGTGACCTTGAGTTTTGCGGTGTTCCTCTGTCAGCTGGTCCCTTCTCTCAGCAGTTGGAAGATGCTCCTCGCGGATGTTCTGATCTTCCTGGCTGCCAACCTCTGCATTACAAGTGGGCTCTTCGTAGCTCTGAGCGCCTATCGGCGCGGGATGGCCTTCGCCTCTGTCTGGCTTTTTCTGGCCGGCTCCCTGGCGTGGATTTTCCAGGGCAGAGTGCAGAAGTGCGGCAGCCGACTCATCAGACACACGCAGTTAGCTTCCGGCCAAGTCTAGTGGTGAGATGAGAACTCCCAGCCAGACGGTGACAAGCTGTTGGCTCGTAATTCGAAGCTGCACAGATCTAAGTACTTAGATCCCTTTGGGGTTTGCATTGGTCTGTCTATGATGTGCTCAGATGGAAGCCTGGCCTGGCAATCAGAATCATAGTAATCTTGTGATGTGCGAGTGGAACCAGACCAGAAATTCCAAAGCAATCCCTTGAAGGTTGCATTTCCCACTTGACGGTGTTCAGGTGCAGCTGCACTTGTTTTGGCAGTTTTGGTCGAACCCCGGAGTCAGCTTGGACCGCGGGGACATCAGCGCAGGTGTTCGGGAAAAGCCGTTGAAGTTTGAAGTCCTCGGGCGCGCCAGCAAGCTCTGGCTGCAGAGTTGTTGACATCGTGTCGTGCATCTTTTAGCATCCACTGCTGACTGGTTGTGTTTCGCAGCCTTTTCAGGCTCTGGTTTGTATCCTGCGCCCATCGTTGACGGCCTTAGGACGATGGAAAGAGGACCCGACATCGGAGGGCAACTGACGAATCGATCGCTGTTTCCTAGTGACCCAAGCCCCCACCAGCCGCCCGGATTCCTGACGCCTGCTTCCCTTCGGGAAGGCATTGAAGTGCTCGAATAGGTTGGAAGCTGCGTACAAGCGTTAATGATTCCAGGAGATGGGGCAGACACTGCGTTGCTTGAGGCACCGGCACAGGAGGAGACCGAGTTCGTAGCGCCTCCCTGTAGCATCCACTGAAGGCACCCGTACAAACAGTACTACCATGAATTATAAACAGACCATAGCTGTGCTGACACTGTAATTTGATGTACAAAGAAAACAATACTGACCATAGCACTCGTGCTGCTACGGTAACTAGGATGATAATGCCAAGATTGTCAATGAACGACAGTGTGATAATGGTGACAATGCTAACCTTCACAACATGGTCTTATCCAACACGGGCTTTGGCGGCTTTTGAACAGGGGCTCACGGTCGTTCTTGCGACAAAGCGCCAGGAGCTAACAGCTACCCATATCCCCTAAACCCCCCCAAACCCAGAAACCCCTAAACCCCCAAAGACCCCAAAATCCCGAATCCAGAAAGACCCAAAACCACCAAAAACCCCTAAACCACCAAAAGCCCCAAAACCCCCAAGAATCCAAACACCCCCAAGAACTCCTAAACCGCCTAGACCCTTAAACCTTAAAAATCCACCAAACCCTAACAACGCCTAAACCCCTAAACCCCAAAGAAACCCTAAATCCTGAACCCCCGAAGGCCCAAATACCACCAAACACCCCTAAACCCACAAAAGCCCAAAAACGCCCCTAAAGCCCTAAACACCCAAAAGCCCGTAAACCCCCCAAAAGAACAAACAACCCAAAACTTTTCAACCCTGAGCAGGAGATGGGCGACAGAAGCCAGTGGGAGCCGGACTGCCGCTCACAGGTAGCTGGGTTCTTGTTAAGGGAGTTTACTGTCAGTTACCGGGATAGGGATCCACCATAAGGGTTCCTTTAAGGCTTTAGGGTTTAAGGTTTAAGTTACCAGTAGTACGGATCCATAGTAAACAGTATGGTTTCTTAGTTATGGTAACTTAAATACAATTGAATTCCTTAGCAAGAACCCAGGTAAAGGATGTCCTGGAGGGTGTTGTGGGAGTACTGCTGAGCATGGCCATGGGCCTCGTGCTCATCACATTGGGCTTGCCGGCCTTTCTGTTGCTGTGTCCTTGCTGTGCAGGATTTTGGAGATGGTTAAGATACTATTGTAGGAGTTACGTTCGTTTGGAGCGTTTAGGTTTACGTTGCTTACGTTTTCTTTTGCAGAGTTTAGGTTTAGGTTACTTACGCTTTTCTTTTGCGGTGTTTCGGTTTAGGTTAGTTTGTGTGGACCAGTTCCAGGTTAGTCGGCTCGCTGGACCTCCTGGGAAACCTTTACGAAGCTTGCGGAGGCGACCGGAAAGACTGGACTCTCTTCGTCGTTGGGGCGGACAAGCCGGACGATGTTCCAGAGCAGCTGGAGTTTTGTTTAAGCTACCACAATCAAGAAATATATACCCTGAACATAGCTATTATATACCCATTATATAGCCCATTATATTATGTGTTCCAGAACGAGGCACCTCCATTATTTACCATCCTATTTTTTACTTTCATTAAGTTCCTGAGCAAGAGCCCAGGCAGTGTAACCGGGAAGCTGCCGGAAAGATGGAGGCCGTACGTGGCAAGGGCCCCTGGCCGAACTTCGTCTACCATCTTCGGAACAACCATCCCGTCTTCGGCGTCTTCTGTTGCGAGCACGGACATCCCTTCAGTCCTGTTGAGAGAATCTGGGTTCTTGTTAAGGGATTTAGTTTAAGTTGCCGTAATCAAGAAGCCAAATTATTTACCATAGATCCTTACTATGGCAACTTAAACTAAATCCCTTAACGAGAACCCAGAATTGAGGAATGGGCTTGCTGGTGCTGCTTCTTAGCTTCGCTTACTTCATGGCCGGATTGAAGGCCAGGGGCCAAGAGTCCAAAGGCTCCAGCGAAGCTAACCCTAAACCCTCCCTAAACCCTAACCCCGGAACCCTAAACCCTAAACCCCAAACCCTGAACCCTAAACCCTAAACTTGGAGTGCTTAGGTGAAGTTTGTTGACTATACGAAGCACGCGCACTGGCATGACGAATTGGACTGGCTGTGGATCGACTGCTACTCATTAGTATGCATAACCCTGCCCAGCATGGTCCTGCAGACCATGCTGAAATTTTTTGCATTGCTGAACTACAAGTATGTGCTGAACAAGTACAGCTACTTTGCAAAGATGCGAGACCAGCGCTGCCGTTCCTTTGCAAGGCAGTTCTGTGTTGACCGCGGTCTTGGCATCGAGCGACCCCGAACCCGTCGGCAGCAAGGTACTGGCTTCGGGGATTGTGACTGCCTCGAGAAGTGCTGCACGCTCTTTTGCAAGCTCTCCGACGCTTGCAAGGCTTGCCGGGCGTACTGTCACAGGGTTTTCGCATTCGGCCTTTTTTGCCCATGTTCGGCTGGCCAGGCTTGCAACAACTCCTGCGAAGATGGAAAAGCGCAAGCTGTCAACTCACTTTTCGCCAGCCTCTTCGCTGGGCTGGCCTTTGCTGGGTCCTGTGTCTTCGTCGTCCTTGGGATCTGGCTCGACATGGACGTTCCTTGAAATATCTTTTCGCGAGAATGAACGTGCTACAAAATACGAACACTGGCAAGCATGACAATAAAGCTTCCGCTACTGCGACAGCAGCAACAACAGCAACTGCTACTGCTGCTGCTACTACTACTCCTACTACTACCTCTACTCTGCTCCGACTCCACCGCTCCTCTTGCTGCTACTAATGCAGTCCTACCATCATCAATATCACACTCATACTGGTGATGCTTTTGAGAAGTTGTTCAGTTCTTGACGTTGCTCAGGCCTCGGAAGATGTTTGGCAATCTGTCAGCATCGGCGCAGGCCTGAACTTCTTCCTCCTTTGGTTTCTGCAGGCCGTTGTATACTTTACAGTGCTCTGGCAGTACCAGCATTGGGAAGGGCAGCGGTTTCGACTGCTCGGGCAGGAGACGGAGCTGGGCTCAAAACAGCATAAACCCTGAATCCCAAATCGACAGTTTCAGCCCAGAATTCGGCAGGAGTAACCCTAAACTTTACCCTAAACCCTAGGAGGTGCCTCCACACCCTGAGCTTTGGCTGGAGATGCGCCAGTTTTTCCGGCTGCTGGACCGGAACAACGATGGGCTCATCAGCGGCTCGGTCCCATGTTGGTGCCGTTTTATGCGCCACCTGCAGGGCTTGGCGTTTTTGGGGGTTTGGGGCAGAAGTTTCGGAGGTCGGGCTAGTCATCTCCTGCCAAGAATGAACGGCAGAAATCTGTTTGCAAGTATGATTCAGTATCGAATCCTCGTCATGACCACCCTGGCCACCGTGACCACCATCACCACCACCACCGTCAACTCCCATCACTATAATCACTATTATCACAGTCGTCGTCATCCTCATCATCACCACTCCAACGTCCAGGCTTGACAAGGTAGGAAGCTCAATCATGTGCATGTTGCTGGTGAGGGTGAGATGTCACCATGATGATGATGGTGGTGACGGTGGCGACGGTCGCGGTGGCTGTACTCAGCCGACTGATCAAAGCCGCAGTCACCACCGTTAAGTATGTCCTATGCCACACAAACCCCATCGGAAGCCTCTATATGAAGCCAATGTCAGAACACCTACGGCCCTGACGGAACGATTGTTCAATCAGACGAAGCACACACCACCGTAAGTCCTCAACCCTAAACCCTAAATCCCAAACCCGCCATGCTGAAGCTCTGCGCCGCAACTCGCCTCAGGGGCTTTGAGGAAATCCGAATGATCTCGCGGTTTGGGGCTCTGGGACAAAATTCGCTGAGGGATTAGTCTAGTGGACGGGCATCGGAAAGCCCAAAGCCTGAAGACCATAAGCCGTAAAGCTGTGAAACTCTACAACTTAAATCTTGAACCCTGCACCCTAAACCTTTAAGACCCAAAAGCCCAGGCAAAGAAGAGATGTCCGAGGCAGTGAGGTCGCTCTTGAACCAGGAGCTCTCCGACGAGGGCTGGGCAAACTTGCTGCAGGAGGTGCGGAGGCTTACTGTTTAGGGTTCAGGCGGTGCGGAGGTAAGATAGGGCGTTCAAGGACTTTGCCGAGAATTTTGAGGTTTGCATCCTCGGCACCGTAGACGCTTAGGAGGCGTAGGCATTGGGTTTGGGATCTATATTGGATTGAACGTCCAGGGAAGCATTACCAAGTAGAGACCAGATAGGTTGAGGAGTAGTTAGTAGTTTGACTCTAACTGGGACTGAACCCCTTGAGCCATAAATCCTACTTAAAGGGTCATGGGACTTAGTAACTAGGGTTAGAATTGCGGTTGCTATACTTATAACTACTTATAACGCCAATAAAGGTACTTATAACCCGCCATACTAAGTCCCATGATCCTCCAAGTAAGCAACTCAAAGACTTGAAGCCAGGCTTCGGCTTAAATTTGGAAACGAACATAACATGTCTTCTCAGCATATTCCTGGACCATCGTTCCACAGTAGAGCTGCAAGGCCTCCCACTGTTTATGGTTAAGGTTGCATGGGTTCTTAGACCAAAGCCCTATCCTAGCTACTAAGGCCCCTCTAATGCACCCTTATAGTAAAGACCCCTTAAAAGGAACCCCTAAAGAGCTCTCAGTCGCCCCCAGTTGGACGCTGACGAAGACGGACAGCTGTCTCTGCACGAGATCGAGGCAATCCGGTCAGAGTTTGCTGCCAAAGCAGGATGGTGGATACGACCTGAGGCACCTTGACGAGGCCAGGGTCTTTGGTTCATGGTTTGCGTTTAGGGTCTTGTTAGTATTAGAACTTTCCAAAGTCGTAAACATGGCGGCTCTATGCAAAACCCGGCAGTCCCAGCCGGCAGCAAGGATATTCCAACGCGAAGTGTTTCTTTGAAGCCGTGCCCTGGTATACCGGCGCCCCAAGATCATTTTGCTTTAAATTTTGGGGCAGATCCCGCGCACATCCAGTTCCAATCAATTTGATGTGTGTAGCTCTTGTGGCCGCCGCTCGTGTCTCCTTTAGAGGAGCCTAGGCGCTAGGCCCTACGCCCCAAAACCCTAACCGTGTTTCTCGGGGGTTTGGAGACCCTCGTTTCAAGAAGTGGCCGTGCTGCCTTTTGCCACCGCCGCAGCCGTGAGCTCAGTGTCCGCTTTGCCTCGTCCAGACGCCAAGCGTTCGTACAATGAAGCTGATGAAGATCCTCTCTCTGAGCCTGCTCTCAGATTGAGAACTTTTTTTTTGTTGGTGTTACCTGTGCGGATATGTTCAAGGCTTCTGAGAACGAAGCGTTCGAAACGCTCGACGCCCCCCCACTTCTTGCATGTTGCAGCGCATGTGCCCCCTAATCCCTGAACCCTAAACCCTAAACCGAACGTTAGCTCTGAAAGCCCGAAACTCAAACATCCTAAGCTCTGGAGCCCTCAAGGCAAAAGCGCTAACATACACCTAAATCCCAAAAGTCCCAACACCCATGAGCCCTGAGGGCAAAAGTGAAGGAACTGGGACAGGGGTTAGAAGCATGTTAATTGGGGTTGGTGTAGCCATGACCCTACTTTTAAACGACCTACTTTGTGCCCTAGATACCCAGCAAACTCCAAACAGTGAATCTCCCAACCCAGCTCTGATAGAGGAGCTTTGTAGCCAGCCTCGGCTTCAAGATTGACGGTGATGCTAATGGCCCCCATGAGGACCTGCGGATTTTCGTGGGTTTGGGGATTCAGGGTTTTGGGGGTCGTAGGGCATTTGGGGTTCTGTTCATGGGAGCCTGGGCCCATTCTCCAGGATGTTTAGGGTTAGAATCTGCCCTCTGTGCTCAACGTCCCTCAACATCGCAGTGGTTGTTGTCTATTTCATGTAGCGCTGGCTACTTCCGACAGTGTGGCCCAGTTCTATGAAACCGCCTGGCTTAAGGTTCAGGGTTTGCAGGAGTTGGCCGTCGGCTTCTGCGCCCGATTTGATGTGCACGTGGGCGAGAGCCCTAAACCCGAAGCCTAAGTAGATTGTCCTTGACAGTGTTTAGGGTTTAGGGTTTAGGGGTTTAGGGGTTTAGGGTTTAGGGTTCTGCGATGGTTGTAGAAGAAGGTGGCGTCAAGTTCCACTCGTTCCAGGACCTGAAGCCTTGCAAAGGTGGCATGGTGGAGCACACGGATCCTTGGTGGCCAAAGGGGTACTTAGGTACTGTAGGGTCAAGGTTAGGGTAAGGGGCTTAGGGTTTAGGGTTTGGAGCTTAACTTGGCTGAGTTTCAAGGTTTGGTCCGCTCCGAAATTCACGACGGCTTACGGCTTGAAGGCTCTTGATTTGGGACCTTATTTTACTCAGAACCCATGATCGAAATTGCATACGTATATTGATGATTCTGTGTTTTTGTTATTTATATACCTATATGTATGGTCAGTGTTCTGTTGGTGTTGATATTGACACTGTCGTTTGTATAATCATAACTATGTTTATCTATCCGGACATGCTGAATATACACACATAAATAAGTGCATAGCTGTATACAAATACACATGAACACATCTCGGCACTTTTATAGGGTATGAAAATCGAGGGCCCGCGCTAAGTAAGGTATAATGGTTCGACTCTTAGACTCGTGCTTGTTTTTGAGCAAGGCAGTGCTTTTCAATTCTTACTGTATGTTTTTGTTAGGGATGCCGAGGTACATAGAGAGAAGGCCACACGAAACGAAAACCACACGAAGGTACGATAGGGATCTAGAATCTAGAGCCCTGCGTCCTGGGGTTCGGAACAGGAGAAAGAGCCTGATCCTAAACCCCTGGGCACCTCAGCCTCGCACCTCAGGATTGCGCGAGCGTCCCGGTGACAGAATGCGCCTCGGCAGCTATGTCCCGTGACAATTCATGAAGGCTGATTCAAGTTTTCTTGCCGGTGATGAGTGCAAAACGGGCAGAAGAGAGGTGCTACGAGCAAGCTACTATGTACCGGACAATATAGCGCTTGTTAAATAGGAAGCTTTCGCACAATATACATGTTGATGGAAGATAGAGATTCTACGGACGATTCCTCCACAGTCAAGCCCTGGCCCTAAACCCTAAATCCTACTTGGAGGATCGTTGGACTTAGTAAGTAGGGTTCTAAGTACCTCAATTGGGGTTATAAGTAAGTATAAGTATAGGTACCTTGATTACAACCCTAGTTACTAAGTCCCATGATCCTTTAGGTAGACTTCATACCGGGTTAGAAGGTTTTCAAATGTGGCTGAGATTTGCTGAGCCTGAGTTGACAGCGGCAGTCGCTTGGCCCCGTGTTGCTGAATCCTACGCAGAGGTGGCGATGGCAAGCAATTTTCTCACTGGGGCCTGAACTATGCAGTCGAGTGCGCCGTCAGTGGGACTACTTGCATGGGCATCGGGCCTCGGTGCATCAAGACCAATGAGACACTAGGTAGGTCTTTGAGACATTCTATTTTGGTCTTTGTCCTAAACCCTAATTATTAAACCCTCACCCCAATCCCTGAACCGGGCCTTAGGGTTTAGGGTTCCCCATCCCTCAGGACAAGCACTCTGACGACGGACTACGTGCCCTATCAGAGCAGCGGCACCAAGCTTTGGGGCACTGAGGGAGAGCTCGGCCTAATGAAGCTCGGAGATTAGGTTTAAGGTTTCTATAGCGGTTTAGGGTTTCTGTAGGGGTTTAGAGTTTCTGTAAGGGTCTAGGGTTTCTGTAAGGGTTTAGGGTTTCTGCAGGGGTTTAGGGTTTCTATAGGGGTTTGGGGTTTCTATAAAGGTTTAGGGTTTCGCGGGTCCTTAGGTTTAAAGGTCGGGGCTTAGGTAAAACATGGGGTTTCTAGGATGCTGGGTTTAGAGGTCAGGGCTTTAGGGTTTATGGTTTAGAGTTGAGGTATGTTACAGAGTCTTTAGGGTGTTAGGAACCTTAACCTAAGTTATAACAGTCTAGATCTAGAGCAAATTATTTTTCCCTGTTCATGGTGACTTAGAGTAAGTCATCCAGCAAGAACCCAGGAAGAAGCCTTTCACAGCCATGGCGTGGGTGAAGTTCGCTGGTCAGGGCAACTATGGAAATGCGCTCCTCGCCTTTAATGGTTGGGAAGTGCAGGGTTTGTATACATATATCTTTCTATGAATATGTATATGTGTTATATGTATATGTACATGTAGACATCTGTCTATATCACCTTAAACCCAAGATCCAAGACATTACACCCTGAACCCGAAACCTCTCTTACAACAGACCACAACACAAACTTGGGGTTTACTCACGCGCTGTAGTGGGGATGAGTTCAGGGATGCATCCTTTCAATATGTACCTGGCCATAGATGCTGAACTCTAAAGCCTGCATCCATATGTATATACATATATATATATATATACACACATATATATATATATGTATATGAAAGTCTCAGAAAATTAGGAGCCCCAATATAGACTCTATCATCAGAGGAAGGACCCCTAAACTGCTAGACCAAAACAAGTATGGACGTCTTGACGGAGGGTTCGACTCTAAGCATTTTAAGGTATGTTGCTTAATTCTGTCTAGAGGCTCTGAGTCCTAAACCCTAATCCCTAAACCCTGAGCCCAGCGACATGCAAGGATCCTGACGATCAGCGATCGAGAGAATGGCAGAGCGGGCACCGGCATCGGCTTCATGCAGGGCCGCTCGGGGTGTATCATATGGGGGTTTCCGAAAATTAGGGGCACCTTACTATGGGGTCCTTATGAACTATTTAGGGTACCATATTAGGGTCCCCTATTTTCGGAAACTCCCATATGTTGGGCTCCAAGCAGGGTTACAGTGGTTTCAAGGTTTTACACAGGTGCAGCAAGAGCTTACTGTAACGGTTTTGCAAGGGAAAAACTGAGGCGATCTGGGCTCCAGGTTGGTGGTTGGGCCGTTCGGGTTGAGGGTTTTGTTGATTTTAGTGGGTGTCGAGAATAACCACAGGGTTCCATGGATTTGCGGGTGTAGGGATAACGGATCATGGAGTTCTAAGTTGAGGCGTCAGGCTTGTATAGCAACAGCACTTAATTCCGGTGATGCTCATATACATACCCCAGAGATCGAGATAAACTCTGCGTTGAAAGAGCTCCCAAAGCTGTGCCAGGCTATGGTAGTTTTGCCACCTTCGGGAAGAGCTTGTGCCGTGGATGTTCGCACTGGACCTACTACCACTCATGGAAAGATATGTGGGTACATCAGGCATTTGCTGTCGACCCAGTTACTGGCAAAGTGCTCATGTGCCTGGAGCATTTTTTTGAACTCTGTTTGCTTCGGGTTACTTGTGATATCTAAGAAGCCATGAAGGCTAGTCTGTCTGAGGGCAAACCCGAATCTGTACGGTCCAAACCGTACAAGCTGAGACTCTTTAATTTCCTTTATGTAAGGTATACCCTTCAAACGATATTGGGATCTCTTGTATGATGTAAGGTATCTCTCTTTAGGCGTTTTGCAGTCTCAGGCAAAACCAAGGTACAGGGAAGGAAGACTCATCAAATCATGCAGCAATGTCTTTCCTGCCGACGACATGGACGACTTTTTCGTCGTTACGGCAGCCAAAGCGGCCAATGGTGGGCGCGAGTCAATATCATAGTCCTGTTTGTGGGTTTCTTGGGGCTGCAGATGCGTCAAACCATCCTAGCTTTGGCACATGCAGCTTCCAGGTGACGTCTATGACGTCAAGATCTTCAAGGACGAGTTCAAATCTCAGGAGGAGAACCCGAAAACATCATAATAGAACCGCACTATAACATCCGTACACTGGAAACGCAACTTCCGAGTCAGGGTGCCTGAATTGTGCAATCTGCTACATCGTCGCACCCCTGCTGCTTCTGGGTCGCGCAGGTGCTGAAGGTTTCAGCAGAAGTTGCATGGATGTTCGGGGATCCAGCAGTGATGCTTGGTACAGGGCCAAGGGTCGGGAGCTGGGCATGATGCAGGGGCCCGAGTGGTCGCATATGCCATGCTCTTCCGATCCCAATTAGAACTTTTTTCAGGTATCTTAATCCAACATTCCATGCATCGCGAGCAAAGCCAAGAGCTTTCTGGCCCTTCGAGTCCGTAATCAGGTTGTGCTATGCCTAGGCCCCCCCCGAAACGAGTATGCACGGGTGGAGCCGGCCCTTGTCGAAAGTCTGTAGTCTTTATACGACCTTTGCGCTTCCAGCTTAATATGGGAGCACCGGGGCTCGAATAGGCACCAATCATGTTCGATGTTGATGCTCATGAAGCAGCTTCTTGAAGTGGTAGAGTGACAGATCGGCAATCCAACCCCATCTTGAAGCCCCACAACAGCAACTCTAAGCCCTTCATCCCTGTGGAAGCGCCCAAAGCCAAACATGCCACAGGAGATCGTTGCCGAGATGCGCTATGCACCTCATCCCGATCGTGCAGTCGAGTACTTGTCCTACGACAAGAAACTGGGCTTTACTTTCGGTTTTGGGTGTATTTGGGTGTAGGTTTTAGGGGGCAGTTTGCCAGTTTTTGATTCTAGATGTATTTTGGGGCTTGTCTTGGCACTATGTCGGGTGCTCTCCTGTTATCAGTCCCTGTGGAGCGTCCCAAGACCTCATGCACGAATAGTCCGTTTTCAACACACTGAGAGCACTCTAGAGCCTGAATCTTGATCTCCTCAGCCCTTAGCCTGGCAACCTTGGCCCCTAAACCTGTAAGCCCGAACTTCTTCAACCCCAAGACCTTTTCAGCCTTGAGTTACGAACCCTGAACCCTAAACCTTAAGCCCTGAACCCTAAGCCCTAAATGCCCTTCAAGCCGCCCAATCGCAGGAAAGAGCTCCAGGATTTCGGGCAGAGGGGAAAAATGCCGGGCCTCTATCTCATCTCCGTCACGGCCATGGCATGGGTGCACGTCAAGTCGACGCCAGGTAGGAAATTAAGTTAGGGTTTCGGGGTTTAGGGTGAAGTCGACGCTCGGAAGGTTTTGAATATTTTGTTCGGGATTTCTTGCTTTCTCCCTTGAGAGACAGTATCGGCAATACTGCCGTCCCCAAATTAGAGAGCAAGATAGAATACTCCTCTCGGCTGGAGGTAAAAGTCTTGCTTTGTTCCGGGGCGCCCTTGGAGAGTCTAAATTATATGGGAGACACACCAGACCCTAAGCCCTCAAACCTTGGAGACTGTAGATTTTATGGGAGACGCGAGAGGCAGCAACCAGAAGAGTGGCCATTATGTTCGGGTCACCTACACCTCTGACGTGAGTGAATCAGTGAAAGAATCCGGATTCGTATTTGTTTCTGGAAGGTGCAGTTGAAAGCTCGTACTCCTGCTCCTCCTCCTCCTGCTCCCGCTCCTGCTCCTTTTCCTGCTCCTACTATTACTCCTAGTCCTAGGAAACAAAGAGACCCAAGATTCAGGAAGCTGTCGGGGGAGCATCCGATCTTCACCTGGAACGAGGAGTCACACGCTACTGAATCCAAGAGCGCGGTTGGTGGCGGGCTGCAGCCAGGCGGGTTCGAAATAGGGGACCCCAATATAGTAGCCTGAATAGTAGGATCCTTGTCATAAAGACCCCAAAATAAGGTATCCCTAGTTGAGGTGTAGGGTATTGAAGTTTAAGCGCCAAAGCTCAGAAGCTTCTCGTTGTTCATCGGTGCTACACTTGTCAATGCCTGCCCAGAAGTTGTGTACAGTCCGAACCGTCCGTTTGATCAAAAAATAGCATTGTAGTCCTTCACGGTGTAAACCTTCACGGCAAAGCATTTTTTGTGTGCCTAATCTACTGGTGCAAAGGTCAAGGTCACGGCATCTACCTCAACATGGGAAACGGTCGTTGCGAGGGTGGCGATTTGGATGCCCCAGAAGGGTCGTGGATTCATGTGGCCTTTGCCTTTGATAGTTGGGAGATGCTCATCTGCATCGAGAAGACTGTTTGTTTGGGTGGGAAAGGTACTTCACAGTTTGGGTTAAAGGTAGAACCTCTATTCCTAGCAGGCAGCGGGGTTTCAATCGAAGCAAGGAAGACGGTACACCTGTTCAAGGATGGCAAGCTAGTCAAGACATGCACCGACTACCGCTATTCAGTCACGGGACACCTTCACGTCATGACCTCCGCGGCACGTGCGGGCGGTGACGTCTACGATTTCAAGTTGTACAGAACACCGATCATTGAGGAAGAGTATGTGAGTGAGCTCATGGGATCTCAGCATCCCACGCCGAAATGAGAAGCCTCTTCCCTAAAGCCGTGAACACTAATACCCAAACCCTCAAGCCCTAATACCCAAACCTTAAGCCTAAGACCTTAAAGCAACAAACCTTGACTCTACTTACAGGGTCATTGGACTTAGTAACTAGGGTTATAATTAAGGTAACTATACTTATAATTACTTACAGCCCCAATTAGGCTACTTATAACCTTACTAAGTCCCGTGATCCTCCAAGTATCCTCTCTTTTCTGCATGACCCGAAAACCCTACCCTAAACCCTGAGCCCTAAACCCTCAACCCCGAAACCCCCTGCTCTCTCTTTGCGGCAGCTCCCGCAAATAAATCCGCTGGACCCCCAACAGGCTTCCTTGCAGAAGGGCCACCTGGGGTTCTGGCATCGTCGTTTGAGCCTAGGGGTCCGAGGGGGTTTCTGGTTCTAGGGCTTAGGGTTTAGGGTTTAGGTTGGTTTGGGAGTTTCCGAAAATAGGGGACCCTAATACGGTACCCTAAATGGTAGTTCCTTATTATAAGGACCCCAAAATAAGGTACCCCTTATTTTCGGAAACTGCCGTTTAGGGTCTGATGATGGGGCACTTTAGTTAAGGGTTGCAGCAACGTGGCTTAGTCGTTGGGGGAGTATATGATGATTAAGTGCTTGGACCCTTGGGCTTGTTGTGTACAGAGGTGCTGTTGTTTCGCCGTTTCGAAGGGCGATTTCTCATTCTTGCTACACCCTGGGGCCAATTTTTACACAACATCCGTGCGATGCCGCACATAAGGCAGAGAAGCGTGGAAATGCAGAAAGCAGGAATTCGGGCTTTTACTTGCTCATGCTCTGCTGGGACCAGGTCAGCTCCCCCCGCATGTGTATGTATAATGTACATATTTGTATTAATTAGTATTCATAATCCGTCTGTCTGTGTACATGTATATATATATATATATGTATGTGTATGTGTATGTGTGTGTATATATATATATACATACACACACAGGTGTATATACACAGTTTCGCACACAAGCTATACAAGGCACACATACAAGCCTTGCCGACACTTCAACCCGATCTTCCTGATGTCGTTTATCAAGAGGCTTATGCTTCGGGGTGTAAGGGGCTTGGGAGTTTAGGGTTGGGGTTTGGGGAGCGACGCTGAAGGGGGGTTGTGAGAAATCACGTTTTAGGGTTTTTCGGATCCGAAGATGCTTTTTGGTGTGATCTTACGGCTTAGGGTTGAGGGTCTGCAAACTGATTCAGAGTGGCTCAAAACGACTCGCTGTATTTCGGGTACGACACATGAGGAGAGAACCGTGCTGTTTTTGGAAATGCGAGTTGTTTCATCGGATTCACCAGCTCCACACTGGGTCCAGGTGGGTGCTGACACGATGCACAGAGGGGTGCTGGACCCAACCTGAGGCGCCTTCGGGTCAGGGTCTGTGGGTTTAGGGCCTAGGGCTCAGGGCTTGACACCATGCAAGAGATGCCAACACCTCAAACCGGCCAAACCGAAGGTTTCCCGGTCTGACGGTCCGTGGGCTGTGATGCATGGGCGTTTGGGGGTTTAAGGTTTCCGAAGGGCAAGAAGAAGGAAGGGAGAAGAGTAAGGTTAGTCTTTCAGAAACAATGCCGGTCATGATGCTGATAACCACAAGCCGACATTATTCAGGTGCCCAAATCTGGACACCGAACCGTTAGCAGCCCGAGCTGTAGACAGAGGAAGCGCTGGAGTGCATGCCATGTACAGTCTGAGCAAAGCCACCCTTGCAGAAAAGTGGCGCCAAGACCGAAACCGGAATATTAATGGTAAGAATAATACAAAGTAGCAGTAGCAGTAGCAGTAGCAGCAGCAGCAGCAGCAGCAGCAGCAGTAGTAGTAGTAGTAGTAGTAGTAGTAGTAGTAGTAGCAGTAGCAGTAGCAGTAGTAGCAGTAGTAGTAGTAGTAGTAGTAGTAGTAGTAGTAGTAGTAGTAGTAGTAGTAAATCACAGCAACATAGATGAGAGCAACAACAATAACAAGAATGGGGTCCAACGCGACATTGGAGCCGTCCTGCACAAGCATCCTCTGACTGCCTGAGATGCTAGAGTTGTCATTGTTTTCAAAGTTGTGTGTGTCGTTTTGCATTATCCGTATGATGACACTCGGTCTCATATTGCCAGCTGCCGCATGGATCTTGCCACTTTCGGCTAACAGGGGAGGTCTCACCGCACATATCGAACTTATCGAAAGCTCTTCAAAGGCTGTGTATGGAAGGTTTTCGGAGCATCAATTGTCCACCTCATTCTCCCCTGGCGGGCGTCAGATGTCCTTAAACCTGGAATCCAAATGTAGGGGTGTCAGGAAATCCGCTGACCGTACCGACACATGAATGAGATCTGAAGAGGGGATTTTTCCGAGTTCTGAAGTCCTTTTTCGTATTTCTAACTCGCCTAGCATCTTGTAGCGAAGGAGTATCGTGTAGACCTGGAGACTCAAAAGGGCCGCTTTCTTCAGGTTTTTCTGGGTTTAGGACTGCTCGAAGCCATGTCCCGCCTCAAAGCCGCTCCCTCAGCTGCAGCCCCGAAGGCTCGGTGGGCAAGGAGTTTAGAGGATTTAATAGAGGGCCATATCTGGGCCTAAATACTTTACTATTCCTTATTATTCCTAAGGTTTCCTTTATATGTGCCAGCATCCGCGCCCCCCCCCCCCCCCCCCCCCCCATGGTAATCCCCCTCCCCCCCCCTGTGGTTCCTGTGGTTCCCCCCCCCCCCTGTGGTTCCTCTTGGTTTTCCCCCTCCCTTTTGTGGTTCTTCTGGTTCCTGTCTCCCCCCTCCCCCCCTGTGGTTCCTGTGGTTCCTCCGCGTGGTTGCTGCTGCTTTGTTGTTGCTGCTGTTCTTCTTCTTGTTCTTGTTCTTGTTCTTGTTGTGTGGTCGCCCGGGTCGGGGGGGGGGGATACCATTGGGGGGGGGGGGGGGGGTCGAGAACGCGGAGCGCGGGCACATATATTATGATTACTAATCTGCTAATTTTTCCACTGTTTTTCCTTAGGGTTCCTTATTAGAAAGTATACTATACAGGGGCCCAAGACCCTATTCTAGTTCTCAAGGCCGAATATTACTAATCTATGTACCACAATCGACCAAACTATGATATGACACAGTGCGGTAATGATATGATGTAATAGAACGTAATGTAATAGTAGACTATCCGATAATGGCCAAGCCGCAAAATACTTGGGGTTGGGGGCCTGGAAGTTGGAGGTTTCTTGATACTGTCCATGTTGTAGAAGAGTTTCAGGTTACCAGCAGAGGGGTGGTCGCCCTGGGTCCTGGGCAGCTTGCATTGGACATGGGGTTTTCGGTTTAGGGCCTACGTTTCTCTGATCACGTCGTTGCCACAACTGTTTTGCTTACTGCCAGCAAGTCCATGATGAAAGCACTGTGCTGGCTTTTCAGTCTTGTCAAACATGTGTTCCTCCCTCAAATGCCAGACTCACTGGACTCCACGCCTTGTGATACACCCTAAGCCCAACAGCCTGAGCTCGAGCTCCAAACCTGTAACCCGAAGCTGTCCTGTCCAAGTTTTACTCCTGCTCTTACCACTCATACTGCTACTACTGCTGCTGCAACTACCGCTGCTTCTACTGCTCCTCCTCCTCCTCCTCCTCCTCCTCCTCCTCCTCCTTGGGTTTGGAGCCAAGACAGGTGAGTTGGAGCTGGCTCACCTCAGCCGGGCTCCAGACCGACGTGTCCACAAAGGTGCCTTTGGAAAAGCGAGAAGCCCAAGCCACAAAGTTCACACACGCACACACACACATGCGACTTAGGCTTGGAGGGGGGGAGGGGAGGGCTGTGGTTCGTTTCAGAGCCGCTGACAGGCCATCCGCTTCCTGGAGCAGTCCCATGTGACCAGAGACATGTTGGACTACTTCACCTCAGAGGAGGGCCAGCAAGTGCTCCAAGCCTATCGCGAGAAGCGGTTAGCCCAACCAGCGCAGGTCGAAGCCTCAGAGGCTGCGCCAGGTCGTGGCCTCTGTGGTAGGCAGAAGATTTCCGCCGCGGTGCGCAGCAACGAGGGCCACTACTTTGCCAAAGCGCCGAAGCCAGAAGCCCCACGGCCTCCGAAGGGGAAGGTGAGCCAAAAGGAAAACGAAGCGCGTCCCGACAAAAAGGAGGCGCCCGCGGAGAAAATGGAAGTCCTTGGCTGCGTGAAGTCTTTCAGCGAGGACCGTGGCTACGGTTTCCTTGCCTCAGAGGCCGCACCGGGGGACATCTACTTCCGTGCCGGCGACGTACCGGCAGACGACGCAGCGCAGGTGGGCCGGTATTGCTCCTTCACTCTTCAGTTCAAAGACTCTTGGAGGATCATCGAAAACTTTCTTCTGCCTGCCTTCCGGCAGATTTTTTGGGTCGATTAACTCCAAGCCACCCCGAGAGGCAACGAGCAAGCCAATAGTTCCACGCTGCCACTACCATCGCCGCCCAGACAACACCACTCACAACAACGACGGCGACAAAAAAGACAACGACAGCGATTGCAACAACTGCGAAAACACAGAATTTGCCAACCGCAGTTTACTAGCGAACATTTTGCACAATCACGACTGAATCCCAACACGACAACCTCAATCTCAGCTCTTGGACCTTAAGACACTCGACCGACCCACGAAGCTCTAAACCCTAAAGCACTACTTCTCACAACACGAACAAGAAAACCTCCAGCCGAACACTGCACCCGACAAGCAGTGCTTGCGACAATTTTTGCTTTTAAATGTTTCAACAATCTCGCGTGCACCAAGAAACAGTTGTTATAGCACTTTACAGTGCGCATTTAGGAGCCTTAAACCCTAAACTCGAGCAGCCCTTACGAAGGCTTGAACCCTGAAATCCCCAAAGCCTTCCTTGGAATATCCCAGGACGGTCATCCCCAGGCACGGTCCCTTTGCTGGCTCACGGAGGAGGTGCCCCTCACCTCCCGCGCCGAGGCCGAGAGCCGGCTGGGCCCCAAACCCCTCAAACCCTCAAACCCCTAAAGCCTATGCACCCTAAGCTCCTAAACCCCGAAAACCCCCAAAACCTTCACAATAGAGGCCCTCTGAATTGAGTAAGGTTGCTTCGTAGCCCTGACACTTCCTCAAATACCACCAGTCACGAAGTCAAACGAGTCTGCAAGCAACGGAGCTCTCTTCGCGAGGGCTTCGTGAAGAGTCTTGGGGCGAACTACGGCTTCATCACGTCCAAAGCGATCGGAGCGCATGACATTTACGTGGAGTCTCGGCTGCAACTTGGAAGTAGTTGTCAATAGAAGCATTTCTCCAAATATGGTCTGATCTCGCCGCAAGGGCAACGCGGGATTAAGCATTGCAGGCGCGAATGGTGGCCAGAATCTCGGATTGAGGGTTTAAGGGTTTACGGGTTTGGGGTCTAAAGCTAAGATTTTGCGGGACATGCCAGAGATGGCGTTAAAGCGTATGAGCGCACCACCCCATCCGCCTGCGCATACCACACCCTAATCCCGAAAGCCCTCGGCCCTACACCCCGAAACGGCTGAACCAGAACCCTGAGCAATTATAAATCCTTGCAAGAACTTGTCTTACTTTTTTAACCTTAACTCTATAGCCCCCATCACAGGATCGGAAGGAGCTCGAAAAGCTCGGAAGCTGCGCAAATGGGTGACCCGGCTCCGATGTCGAAGCTTTTAGGGGTTCTGGTTGTAGGGATTTCGGGGCTTAGGGCTGGCGGGATTTGGGGTTTTGAGGTCTCTGGGGTTTTGGGGCTTTAAGGTTTGAACTTCGGCTTTCGGGCTTTAAGTATTGAGGCTTCAGGGTCTTAGTGGCTAGCGTTTCCAGTTGAGGGTTCAAGGGTTACAAAGGTTTTGTTTCAGCGGTTTAGGGTTTTCAGGTTTGCGGGTTTTTGGTTCCAGGATTTGTGAATCTCCTCAGATTTGGGATCAGGCCTTTGAGGTCCCAGAAGGAGAAGCGTATGGCGATTGGTCGAGGGTAGCGGAAAATCTGCTGGGCTTAAACTTAAACTTATGAAGGCCGCAAGGTCCCATCAACAGCTGCAAGATAAGCATTGACAGTAATGGTAGCAACACTCACAGTACTGATGGTACCAATCATGAATCTCCATGATGCCAATCTCGACAATCATGACTAGAAGCGGAAGAAAAAGTTTAAACCCTGACCCCTTACGACACTGGAAGCCCAAGCCCACATCCCATCCGAAGGGCTCAGACTCCGAGATCTTGCAATCTTCAGCAGGGTGGCTGGTGATAGCATCTGAGTGCAGTAGCTGTTATTGATGATCAAAAGCAAGCACGTGATAGCAAGGACACTAACCCATTAACGCTAAGGCATCAACTGGTACCAAGTACATACAGCACAGAACAACAGTGACCGGCACTGGAAATATCAGGGCAGTAGCAATTCTCTAATTGCAGGTTTATTCGGCGTGTCAGCAGGACTTGCACGATGCCGACGATGCTACGTAGTGGAAACTGTTATGACTAGGTGGTAGTAGTAGGAGGCGGAGAAGGAGGAAGTGCAGCTGAAAGAAGGCCAATGGTACAATTAGGAGTTTGCTACACTGTTGATTCATGATTTTATCGCGAACATGATAGGGGTGCTCAGAATCCTGCGACCATTGGTAAAGTTGCAGTCAAGCTGTTGACAGTGATGTTAAAGCCCGACCATGATAGCAAGCGGAAGAGCATGACGCTGATGTTGACATTCGAAGCGGCAAGTATCTCAGGACTGTTTCTATTACCCAGCAGAGCAAATGTTGCCATACTTGTGTTTGACTTGGGTTGATCACGATTGATCTCAGGAACAAGAACAGTCAACACAACCCTAACCCAACAACCCAAAGCCTTTCCCTGGAACCCACAACCGTCAATCTTGCCTGCACCTAGGTTCCTCAGTCCGAAACCGTACACCTAAACGCCCAACCGTCAAGTTTAGGGTTTAGGGTCTGATGTAGGAGCCTTCATAATTGGAATAGGGTTTTGGGGCTTCCTCGCAAAGATTGTAGTAGAATATGCCCCTAAGCCCCATTCTAATTACAAAGGCCCCTATATTATAGTACCCTACCATAGATCCCTCATAATAACCCCTCTAGACCCCTTTAAAAAGGAACCAACCCTATTCTAATTATAAAGTCTAAGGCAGCCAGTGTCATTCCGCCTTGCTCAAAACGCGCGTGGCCAGCCGCAGGATCGCCAAGGGTTTGCTGACTTTGGTGGGTTTCAGGGCTTATCCGATATCCGGTTTAGAGTTTAGGGTTTAGGGGACCTTGTTTTCGATTTTTTTGGGGCTGTTGTTGCTCCTGTAGGAATATCCTCCTGTAGGAATATGTGTCACAACATTGCCACTGGGGGCGTAAGCACGCTATGGACACTGCTGCACCGTCGTGCTGGTCATCATGGCCCTTCTGCTTTGGCGAGTACTGGCTTCTTCGATAAGTACTAACACTAGTGAAGAGGGCTGAAGCTGTCTATTCAGTTATTTACTCTTGTATTGCTTCGGCTACTTCGTCTTGTGGATGATAATCCCGACGACTGTCATCCTCACAGTGGAAGTGGTGCACTTGTCGCGATTGCCATCGTTCCAGTTGCAGTTGTCGTCCTCTTCGCCGTGCTTGCGTTCAGTGTCCTCGTCGTATCTCCATCCTCATGTTCTGCTCTCCCTCTGATTCATTTCCTGACTGTCGTCGTCATAATCATCCCCAAAACCATCATCACCATTATTATCATCATCATCATCATCATCATCATCATTCTCGCCATCACCAGAGTCAACATCAACATCAACAGCAACATCGACATCCTCCTCCTCCTCATCATCATCACCACCATCACCATCATCAACATCAGCATCAGCATCAGCATCAACATCAACAGCAACATCGACATCATCATCACAATGATAATCTATTTGGCATCATCGGCATGGCTATGGCTACCACCATCGCCATCATCAGCAGTATCATTCTCATGAGTTGCAGCTTATCCTTGGTCTGAGCTGCCGGGAAACCACGTGCGTTCAGACTGAACATGTGGATGTATTGATGCCTCTCTGTCTCTGACTCACTGCCTGTCTGCCCGCCTGCCTGCCTCTTTGTTTGGCTGTTCTGTCGGCATTCGTGCATGTACGCATGCCCGTAAATCTGCGTTTCGGGCAGTGCATGTGTGTACGTGTGGATGTCCGGGATATCTACTCTCATGCAGGTGTTCATGCATATGTATAAACTTACACAGGGACATGCAGATACACATGCGTGCACACATGCACACATGCATGCAGACAGCGACAGAAAGAGGGGAGAGAGAGAGAGAGAGAGAGAGACGGACAGCAAGACAGACAGACGGACATAGCCAGAGAGACACAAAGAGACACAAAGAGACACAAAGAGACACAGAGAGACACAGAGAGACACAGAGAGATACATAGAGATACAGAGAGATACAGAGACATACAGAGAGATACAGAGAGATACAGACACACAGAGAGACAGAGAGACAGATAGACAGACAGACAGACAGACAGGCAGAGAGACTGAGCCAGGCAGACAGGCAGGCAGGCAGGCCGACAGACAGAGAGGCAGAGAGACGGAGAGACAGAGAGACAGAGAGACAGAGAGACAGATAGACAGATAGACAGATAGACAGAGAGACAGAGAGGCAGAGCGACAGAGAGACAGAGCCTCAGCCTGAGGGTCACGACAGTGACCCCTAAGCCCGGCAGAAAGAAAGAGACAGACAGAGAGACAGAGACAGACATGCAGACCTACATGCAGACGTGGAGATTTGCAGACATGCCTGCACATGTGCAGCCAGGCATCCACCAGGCATCCACTGTGTTACTGACGAAAAACTCTTAGTCGGTGTTCATGTGCATTGACCAGACTGCAACAACCTTGGCCGGAGGCGAAAGATGTTCAGCTCCTCGAGGACATGCGGGTAGGTTTGTCGCCAAACGGGATTCCTTTCCTCATCGAAGTTCCTTCGTTTCGGACACCTTTCAGGGGAGGCCGATTTCGAGTAGCGAGGCCCAAAGATCAGAGCAGGACATCGCTGGAGACACGCAACACCACCAACCAGAAATGACCTCAAGCCCGGCAGCCGAAACCCAGGCTCTCGCAAACCCAGACAGTTTCCGGCCAGTGTCTTGTTGCATTCTTTACAAAACCTAGTCTAGTTGTAGCATCATCCACCCAACACGGTGGCATACTTAAGTAACACTGTGCCGCTTCGCTTCTCCGAGCGTGTACTCGTAGAAACCAGCACTTCTCAGCCACAGTGTTCGGGGTGCAGTGCCGCACTTTCGAAGAAGTCGGGAGACCCCTCAAGAGAAATGCCCCTAAACCCTAAAACCTTAAGAGAAAAAGTAAATGCTAGACCCTAAACCCTAAACCCCAACAGGCTCTGAACCTGCAGGAGCGCAAACCCTAAGACAAACCCGAAGCCCCTAAGACCCTGAACCCCTACCCCTAAACCCTAAACCCTAAAACCCTAAACCCTAAACCCTAAACCCCCTAAACCCAAAACCCTTAAAGGGAAGGAACCGCGAGCCTCAGGAGCCATGTCCCGAGGCGAGGGAGACGAAGGATGCAGGGGAGACCGCCCCGGTAGGGCCCGTTCGCTCCAAGTACTGGTGA